TTCTGGTATCACCTTGAACAACCTCCAACCACACTACTCTTCAATGATCGTAAATCATGATTAGAACAGAAAAGCCTCGTCTCTGTTCAAAGGAATTCCAGCCTGACAGTTAGGTCCCCTTTTTTACATGCAGAAAACTGACAGACTTTTATTCACATTCTGGAAGAAGTAATAATGTTTCTCTGTAATGAAATACTGGTGGCTGGGCTTTTACCCATGGAGCTCGGCCGGGCACAGCCCAAAGAGGAGACGTGGGTACCCCTTCCCATGGGCTCACCACCTGTGGGATGGGCCAAAGGGGTCGAGTGCAATGTGGGATGGGTGGTAGCCGAGGGCGGGGACCCTGGCGGTCTGATCCTCAGCTACAGAAGCTGGCTATTGGGACGTGGAATGTCACTTCACTGGTGGGGAAGGAGCCTGAGCTGGTGTGTGAAGTTGAGAGGTTCCGACTAGAAATAGTCGGACTCACCTCTACACATGGCTCTGGAACCAGTTTCCTTGAGAAGGGTTGGACACTCTTCCACTATGGAGTTGCCCCTGGTGAGAGGCGCCGAGCAGGAGTGGGCGTACTTATTGCCCCCCATCTTGGTGCCTGTGTGTTGGGGTTCACTCCGGTGAATGAGAGGGTGGCCTCCCTCCGCCTACGTGTGGGGGGACAGGTTCTGACTGTCGTTTGTGCTTATGTACCAAACGGCAGTTCAGATTATCCACCCTTTTTGGAGTCCTTGGAGGGGGTACTGGAAAGTGCACCTCCTGGGGACTCCCTTGTTCTGCTGGGGGACTTCAATGCTCACGTGGGCAATGACAGTGAGACCTGGAGGGGTGTGGTTGGGAGGAACGGCCCCCCTAATCTGAACCCGAGTGGTGTTCTGTTGTTAGACTTCTGCGCTCGTCATGGATTGTCAATAACGAACACCATGTTCAAGCATAAGGGTATCCATATGTGCTCTTGGCATGAGGACACCCTAGGCCGCAGTTTGATGATCAGCTTTGTCATCGTCTTATCTGATCTGCGGCCACATGTCTTGGACACTTGGGTGACGAGAGGGGCGGAGCTGTCCACTGATCACTACCTGGTGGTGAGTTGGCTCCGATAGTGGGGGAGGATGCCGGTCAGACCTGGCAGACCCAAACGTATTGTGAGGGTTTGCTGGGAACGTCTGGCAGAGTCTCCTGTGAGACAGAGCTTTAACTCCCACCTCTGGGAGAACTTCCAACATGTTCCGGGGGAGGTGGGGGACATTGAGTCCGAGTGGGCCATGTTCCGTGCCTCTATTGTCGAGGCAGCTTACCGGAGCTGCGGCCGCAAGGTTGTTGGTGCCTGTCGCGGCAATAATCCTCGAACCCGGTGGTGGACACCGTCGGTGGACACCGTCGGTGAGGGATGCTGTCAGGCAGAAGAAAGAGTCCTATCAGGCCTTTTTGGCCTGTGGGACCCCAGAAGCAGCTGATGGGTACCGGCAGTCCAAGCGACATGCGGCTCGGGTGGTCGCTGAGGCAAAAACTCAGGCATGGGAGGAGTTCGGAGAGGCCATGGAGAATGACTTCCGCACAGCTTCGAGGCGATTCTGGTCCACCATCCGGCGTCTCAGGGGGGGAAAGCGGTACACCACCAACACTGTTTATAGTGAGAGTGGTGTGCTGCTGACCTCAACTCGGGATGTCGTGGGTTGGGGGGCAGAATACTTTGAAGACCTCCTCAATCCTACCGGCATGTCTTCCACTGAGGAAGCGGAGCCTGTGGACTCTGGGTCTGGCCCGCCAATCTCTGGTGTTGAGGTCATCAAGGTGGTAAAAAGCTCTTCGTGGCAGGGCCCCAGGGGTGGATGAGATTCGCCCGGAGTTCCTTAAGGCTCTGGATGTTGTAGGGTTGTGTTGGCTTACGCGACTCTGCAATATTGCGTGGACATCGGGGGAAGTTCCCCTGGATTGGCAGACCGGGGTGGTGGTCCCCTATTCAAAAAGGGGGACCTTAGAGTGTGTTCCAACTACATGGGGATCACACTCTTAAGCCTCCCTGGTAAGGTCTATTCGGGGGTTCTGGAGAGGAGGGTCCGTCGGATAGTCAAACCTCGGATTCAGGAGGAGCAGTGTGGTTTTTGTCCTGGTCTTGGAACACTGGACCAGCTCTACACTCTCAGTAGGGTCCTGGAGGGTGCGTGGGAGTTTACCCAACCAGTCTACATGTGCTTTGTGGACTTGGAGAAGGCGTTCGACCGTGTCCCTCGGGGAGCCCTGTGGGAGGTACTCTGGGAGTATGGGGTACCGGGCCCTTTGATACGGGCTGTTAGGTCCCTGTATGACTGGTGTCAGAGCCTGGTCCACATTGCCGGCAGTAAGTCGGGCTTGTTCCCGGTGTGAGTTGGACTCCGCCAAGGTTGCCCTTTGTCACCGATTCTGTTCATAACTTTATGGACAGAATTTCTAGGCACAGCCAAGGTGTTGAGGGGATCCGTTTTGGTGGCCTTAGGATTGTGTCCCTGCTTTTTGCAGATGATGTGGTCCTGTTGGCTTCATCAGATTGTGATCTACAGCTTTCGCTGGAGCGGTTCGCAGCAGAGTGCGACGCGGCTGGGATGAAAATCAGTTCCTTCAAATCCATGGCCATGGTCTTGAGCCGGAAAAGGGTAGAGTGCCCTCTCCGGGTCAGGGAGGAGGTCCTGCCCCAAGTGGAAGAATTCAAATATCTTGTGGTCTTGTTCACGAATGAGGGAAAAATGGAGCGTGAAATTGACAAGACGGATAGGTGCAGCGTCTGCAGTGAAGCAGGCGCTGTACAGGTCTGTCCTGGTGAAGAGAGAGCTGAGTCAAAAGGCGAAGCTCTCAATTTAACGATTGATTTACATTTCTACCCTCATCTATGGGCATGAGCTTTGGGTTGTGACTGAAAGAACAAGATCTCGGATACAAGCGGCCGAAATGAGTTTTCTCCGCAGGGTGTCTGGGCTCTCCCTTAGAGATAGGGTGAGAAGCTCGATCATCCGGGAGGGACTCAAGAGTAGAGCCGCTGCTTCTCCACGTTGAGAGGAGCCAGTTGAGGTGGCTCAGGCATCTGGTTAGGATGCCTCCTGGACGCCTCCCTGGTGAGGACTTCCGGACTTCCACCGGGAGGAGGCCCAGAGAAAGACCCAGGGAGGAGGCCCAGAGGAAGACCCAGGACACGCTGGAGGGAATATGTTTCTCGGCTGGCCTGGGAACGCCTCGGGATTCCCCCGGAGGAGCTGGACAAAGTGACTGGGGAGAGGGAAGTCTGGGCCTCCCTACTTGGACTGCTACCCCCGTGACCCGACACTGGATAAGCGGAAGAAAATGGATGGATATAATGAAATAATTGTTTCTTGGGAATAACTAATAACTTGCCTTGAGCGTTTCTGCTGCAGCTGACAAGAACCTCTAGTCAAAAGTTTACATACTTGTTTTCAGTTTACAAGGTTAACAAAGTGTCCTTATTGGTTTTAACTCATAGTTGATAAGTGTCTTAAATATTTTTATTTGATGACATTTTCAACAGAGCAGATTAAAATACTTTATTTAGTTGCTAAAGTTCAGCCCTCCCATTCTGATTGGTTCAAATCAACCTCCCCTGTCAAATTAGAGGTGTGGTCGATTGTTTGCAAGAGAGGAAGACCTCAGATGAATTTGGAAGCTGAGGAGAAAGTTGGAGGAGAGAAGAAGAGGAGAAGGAGGAAGCTTTTAAAACACAACCTACAAAAACTTCCACAAAGAATGGAGTTTGACAAAGTTCGATAGAACCCTCTTCAGTGCTCCAGACACCTGCAGTCATCATCAACAGCTGTCCAGAACTTCAGGAGACGCCCGCTTGACCATTAAAGCCAGTGACCAAACTCATCGCCTTGATGTCAGAGATGCGAAGGAATTCCCACCTTTACATCAAAGATCATTATTGCAGAAAGAGTCCAATATCTGGTATTTTCAGGCAGCCGTTTGAAGACGACTTCTGGTAGGAAAAGGCTGATCTATACTCTGGAAGGTTGACTCTGGTGTCCAAGAATTTAGATTTTATCCAAATTAGTATTAACTCAGTTCAGTAATTATTTTTCCTTTAATTTCAGACCAAATTTCAACTATTGGATGATATAGAGCGTCTTGCTTTTAGTTAAATTTGCATAATTAATCTGCCCTGCTGAAAATTCCAAAGTTCTACATTTCATCTTATTTTGGTTTGAGTAATCACATAGAATAAATCAATTTTATTTGTTGATTCCTGCTAACAAGCATTTTTAACGGTCATGTTAATTTCCATAAAACTCGGTTGTGAACAAAGCCTTCATTTAAATGTCAGAAATAATTTCCAACAGTTGTTTTATCATATATAGTCAAATAAACGTCACAAAATTGTATTAAAGTGTGTTTTTTATTTATGACATCTGAATCGGTCATATAAAAGAACTCACGGTGTAAAAAGGGTAATTCGAGGTAATTAAAGAATAACATCTGAATTGATTTTCAGACCATAAGATTTCCTCTCAGAGCTGAGAGTGGTGCCCCTTCAAAATAAAATGTATAAACAATTTTTAATCATTATTAACCCTTCCCACTACATAGACATTTCTGCAGTTTTTCTACAGCTTTCTACTTTAATTTCCCTGCTTTCAACAAATGTCAGTCATTCAAATTAAATGCATTAACAGTTTTGCAATAAAACCTTTTCAGCTGGTTTCAGTAAAAATCTTTCAGCAATAACCACTCACACAATAGTGTCACAGGAAATACTTCTTTAGTTAGTTTTATGTTTATCCTAGGTAGGCCAGATTCGCTGCATACTTAATATGGATCACTTGACCTTATTTTTCAAAACAATGTCATGTTAATGACCCGTGTATTTTTTTAAATACAAAACTTTTAAACAATTAGAATCAGTAATCCTTATTTAGCTGATAATGACTTTCTACCAAATTATACACAATCTTGTTTTGATGGCTACCACACATCTGGCTGAGCTCTAATTTCACCACTCGGATAGGTTGTAAATATCTTACCGGACACTGGGCATCTGTGAGTGTGGGGTGGAGGCCGGGGTGGGGGGCTTCAGGTCTCCCCCTTCAGTCATTGAGCTAGTAGTAGATTGGGGAGTTTGGGGTCCTTGAAGGGACCCTGAACCAGCTACAAGACAAATAAAAAGATAACTTCAGTTATTTTCCCATCATCGCTGCAAAAGCAAAACCTGAGACTGACGGTTGGCACAGTAGTTTTGTAGATGGTCAGATCACCACTGGGGGGCCTTTCTGAACACAAACTGGTTTTGGCAGGCCTGCATCATCACCAATCCATGAAGTGAAGATGCCTGATTTGTTTGTTGGACACCACTTTACAATAAGGCTCCCCTTATAGATTGGATAATAAACAGTTTACACATATGTTATTCATTCCTCTATAATTTTTTTTTATAAATCATTAATAACTGCTTATTATGAATTATTTAAGGGTGACAGAGACAAAACTGACCAGTTTCTTGCCAAATAATGAGTCAAATCTGTTCACCTGTATATTTAATCTAAAGTTGTTATATTAAACATTTCAGACTAAGTTACTACCTTGTAAACACAATAAGCATTTGTAAACCTATTTCTTTAGCATATAATATTGTATTTTACCACTGCTTTATAAGTATCTAGAACTAATATTATATACTAAAAAATAGGTTTAGAAATGCTTATTAATTAATGCCTAATTCATTTTGCACATACTAATGAGATTAATCGTGATTAATCGCTATTTTGTGATTAATCGCGATAAAAAATTAATCTTTGCCCAGCACTAATATATATAAATGTATATATACACGTGTGTGTGTGTAACTTTTAAATATGAATCTAAAATACTTTACACTACAATCTGTGCCTCAATTACCCATTCATACAGCACTCTACTAGATCTATACAAAGCTAATTGAACAAATCATTCTAAAGAGACTAATCAGAGCTTTATCACATTCATACACCGATGGGACACACATCAGAGGCTATGAGGGGTTCAGTGTCTTGCCTAGGGACACTTCGGCATGTGACTGCTGGTGGATTCTAACCCCCAACTCTTGCATTGGAGGACGACTGCTCTAACCACTCAGCCACAGCCGCACCATTGTATGTTCTCATACAATGGTGAAATTGGCTCTCTGTATTTAACCCATCCACCACCAGGTGGGGCGGTGGGTGAACTTTCGAGGTGCCTGGGGAGCAACTGGGGATGGGGTGTCCTGCTCAGAGACATCACGAGATGTGTAATGACTGGGGATTGAACCCAGGACCTTTGGGTGCCGAGTCGGCAGCTCTGACCCAACACCATCTCGGGGCTCCCATATGACATTGTGTCACATCACACGGCATTTTGATCAGATAAGCTAATTTATTAGCATCGTAAAAACAGCTAGTCTATAGTTAGCTTTTAATTAGCCACAAAGCAGCAATAATTTTTAAGAATTAATAAGTAAACTTTGTAAGAAATATTCAACTTTTATGCAAATAATGTCGCACCATGACACAAAACACTGAACACTATTAGTGATGTCAGATATATAGCTTTTAAACTAAAAATATGAAGAACTGATTTCACCTGATGACTTTACAAATCACTCCAGAGATGCTACTGTACTTTCCTAGTTGTGTGTGGTCCTCTTCATCCTCAGGATGTCCAAATTATTGCCAGTTCAAAATATAGATTATAATGTCACACCTCATGATACCAAGTTTGTGGACAAAATGTATTAGGCCAGAACTTGTTTTGACATTGTGCATAGACATCAACATTTTATGTGGCTTTTGATAAAACAAACAAATTATATGCATTGTAAAACTTTAAAATATGTATAATTTATTTGGAAAATAAGCTCTTTATTTGTGAGGGCAAACGTATGCCGGACAGTCATATCATATGACATTTTAAATGTTTGGATCAAAATTTTAGGTAGAAATCTTGATGCACTTGCAACATCTTTGGTATCAATACTCTTTATCTTTTCAGAGGAACAACATTTAGATATACTGTATATTCTTAAAAAATATAAAATATTAGGAGTATGTGACACTCTGACAGTCAGAATTGTGTCATTTGTCAACCATATATATATATATATATATATATATATATATATATATATATATATATATATATATATATATATATATATATATA